AAAAAAAAAAAATATGTGTAGTTATAGATGCAATGACGGGTTGTTGTGGAGATATACAATAACTATTACCTAGTATAATGCATGATATTTTAACCAACAAAAGGTATTCTCCTAGATATGTATGTCATCATTAGATCATATTTTGATGAATTTTTTTATTCCTAACTTATTTATAAAATTCTTTATATGTAGAATTTCTGTCGCAAATGACACATATGAAGAGATTATTGTAATTTCAATATAATTTAAATTACATCATGTATTACAATATATTTCCTATAAAAATTTGTTGACTTCTTTATAACTATCCACGAAAAGTATCAAGGAATTAATTACTTAGCAAAATTTATTTAAATGCTTGACTTTGACTAAATTTATTTTGCCTATGTTACCACCTGCTTGATATAAAGAAACATAGATTAATATTCGATAGCAATTTGATTAATTTGTACCTACATTTTTTGGTTTAAAAAATTTCTTTTTTGTTTTGATTTTTTGGTTAAATAGTTATAAAGAGTGCAAGGGTATTGTTATCAATTTGTTACATTTGATTGGGATATTTGATTTTGTTAAGTTGGTAAGAGAGGTAAATGATATTTTAAAATCTCGGAGAAATTGAGTGATATTACGAGAAATCTCAGAGGTTTCTGAAATTATCCCATTTTCCATTCTAAAATATATGCTTGTCGGAACTGTGTACAACTCTTGTTTAGCATCGAAATGCAAATCCGGTATAATCCAGAAAAGTCAAATAATTAATGTCGACCCACCACACCACCTTGATCTTTCAGTCTCTCTATACTTGCGGATACGATTGCAAGTTTTTTACCAGCAAATATTTGCTTGTCTTTATTCTGCTTCCTCACTCCTCCGTATTGCTCTCTCCATTGTTCAACAATGGCTGCAAACTCACCTGAGATACTCCATGACTTCTCTCCCATGATCCGTGTATACAAGGACGGCCGAGTCGAAAGATTATTAGGCAAAGATATTGTAGCTGCATCGGTAGATCCAGAAACCGGAACTGAATCAAAAGATGTCCAAATATCACCAGAACTAAACATATCTGCTAGGCTTTACCTGCCCAAAAAAGCCCAACAGGATAAAAAACTTCCTCTTCTAGTCTACTTCCACGGTGGAGGCTTTGTGGTCGAATCTGCCTTCTCTCCTCCATATCACACGCACCTCAACGCAGTAGCTGCAGAAGCTGGTGTTGTAGCAATTTCAATTAACTATAGGCTCGCCCCGAGCACCCTCTACCTACTGCTTATGAAGATTCTTGGATTGCAGTCAAATGGATTGCTTCTCATTCTAATGGCCAGGGTCCTGAGGTATGGCTCAGGGATTATGTTGACTTTGATAGCGTGTTTTTTGTGGGGATAGCGCTGGTGGCAACTTAGCACATAACATGGCTTTAAGGGTTGGACTGGAGAAACTGGACGGCATCAATCTTGATGGGATTTTTCTCAACTGCCCTTATTTTTGGGGAAAAGAGGCAATCGGTATTGAGCTAAAGAACTTAGAGATGAAGGCCTATGTTGAGGTCCTCTGGCATTATGTTCACCCAAAATCTGCAGGGGTTGATGATCCATTGATGAATCCTGTGATGGAACCCAACCTTTCGAGGCTAGGCTGCAAAAGGGTGCTGGTTTATGTTGCGGAAAAGGATATTCTGAAAGAAAGGGGGTGGCTTTATAAAGAAGCTTTGGAGAAGAGTGAGTGGGGCGGAGATGTGGAGGTTGTGGAAGTTGCAGGGGAAAATCACGTCTTCAATTTGTTCTTTCCCAAGGGAGAGAATGCTTTGTCGCTGCTGAAGAAGTTGGCTGCTTTCATCAATAAGAATGATGTGTAGATGCATCTCTTAAGTGGATAATCACTTTGATTATTGTCATTCTCCGAATTTTTCATGTACTTATTTGAAGTTCATATGCAAGTGTTTGTTTCAAAATACACTAAAAGATATTTGTGGAATAATCACCTGTAATGGTGAGAGATAAATGATGTGGTTTACGGATGTGATTCGGTATAGGAAATGTTTTCACATTCACTCACTCGTGTTAACCATTATCAGTCCCTGTTTTTATTGACGAATCTTGCTTTAGCTTCTCAAGCCATTATTTGAGAGTTGAGACTTGACTTCTGCTTGCTTTTCTTTTAGACCTTAGTGGCTTACCCGTTGCAGGTGTGAATGTTTCTGCATTAACTGCTACTGGCTTTGCCAATATATGAATGAGCTAAGCAGTGACGAATGAACAAGATAGATTATTGATTAAATTCTCTATTTCTACCCCACCAGCACCGGCACCAGCTGCGACCACTCTGGCCTCCTCTTCTTCATAACATAAATTATTAAGTGGGCGGTTCGTCTATTATGAAGCAAGTGTGGAGGACAAGATCGATTAGGCATATCTGAATCATTAATGTTGGATTCAAGAGTAGAGTAGGTTTTTTTGGTGGCATTTGGGAGATTGCAATTGTGAGTTTTTTTTTTTTTCGAGAAGATAATTATTGTATAATCTATTGAATAGAGGTGGTAATATGGATAAATGGTTCATAATTGGTTTTGATTTAACGGATGGTGGATGAAATTTATCCAATCCATTTAAATCCATTTAATAAATGGATCTAAATGGATGGATCTAAATGAATTAAATAAAAACCAATTATCCATTTATAATCCATTTAAATATTTTCGTATTTTTTTTTTTGTCAGATCTTTCGATATGAAATAGCCACTTTGGGCCCTGACTAATCCGGAGTTGAGCCAGGTTGCACCCCATAAGAGGCGCAAGCTCTCCCTATAAGAGTTGTAGTGCTTCTGGTAAAAATGCATTTTTAGGTGCTAAAAGCAAAACGTTTGGTGAATATCATCCTATAAAATTAGGAGTAAAAATTTTTGTGTTAAAAACACTTTTAGCAAAAGGTTAAATTTGGTACTTTTATAGTAGCTTTTGTGATTTAAAAAATAAAACATTGAATTTAATCATTTTATCCTATATTATGAACTAAATAAAGAGATAAATACATTTAAAATTTTTTAAATTACATATTATCCAATACAATAAGTATTTATTGAACAATATCTCCAAATAATATATTTTAAAACATTTAAATACTTAATAAGTATTTTTATTAAAAACTCTATTAAAAAATTATTTTTTAATAAGTTATTGTAACTCGCAACAGGCCCTTGGTAGAAGGCAAAGAACATGTGATTATTAAGCAACTAAAGGGAAAAATCTACAAAAAAAGAAAAAGACGAAAATATACTGAAGGAAGTAGAAGACAATAACAAAAAAGGATTCTTCTCAGATTTAACAAACTCATAGAGGCCAGTTGTCAATATTTTGACTGTGTTTCTAGCTCCACTTCTTGTGAACGTGATGATGTTCTCTAGTTTTGTGGGGCCACAACGATGACGCTTTCTGGAAGGAAGAAAAGAAGTTATTTGTGAGTCCTGGGTCCGTCTTTCCATTGCATTCTATTTTGCTAAATGGATTTATATGGATCAAGTGGATAAACCATGTAAATCCATCAATTTACATGGTAGGAAAAGGAGACGAATATGAAGAGACTCAATTATAACTCGGAAGACCACCACCAGCAGTTGTGAGTCGTGACTGAAGAAAAATACTAACAGTACATACTACACAGGATGACAGGAGAGTGCTTCCATTGAAGTTTATCAAGTTCAATTTCCTTTTTCTGCGACCACGAGATCTCGTCTCATTCATCAAATAAAATTGTAAAATAGTGCTGCTGGGAAATACTCAAATATAATTTGCTTTTTCCACATTGGCGGAGCTACAAAAATTTTTCATGTGGGGGTGCACGAATTTATGTGTTTGGATAGCAAGTTATTTGGCCAAATATATTTGCTTACATCACCATTACAATTTCCAATACACCTTTTTATCTTCCCAATTACCTTTTTATCTCACATACATCACATCATAAAAAGTGCTACAGTAAAAATATCTCAAATAACTTACAATCCAAACACATGGATATGATAAATAGTAGTATAATAAATAGTAGTATAATAAATGGATATGATCAAATTTATTTATTAATAAATACATTTTCCATAATTTGCTCATGACAGATTTTTCATAACCTTCTTTTTACTTTAATTTTAAAATATTGTCTTCTCAACATGAAAAGAATTGCCTGCAACTAGCATTATTGATATATACTGCTTACTAGAGACTAGAAATTGATTTTCGAGCTATTATTGCCTATTCCTCCTGATGGAGGAAGGAAGCCAATTTCTTCAGCAGGGTGACGGCGTTTGTACAGGTTGGATTGAATAGATGGAACGCATGCCCCTCTCCGGGGTCTCCAGGATCTCCACCTTGCCTTTCCATCCACTCTCCTTCAGGACATCATAGTAAAGCCAACCCCTCTCCTTCATTTCATCAAATTCAGCAACACAAATGAGAACCCTTTCGCAGCCTAGCCTCGACAACCTCGAATCCGCGGCGGGGTTTATCCTGGGATCATCCCATCCGGCTGTAGCAGGACAAGCAAAATTCCAGGCAGCGGTGGGACTCAAACCCCCTTTTTTACTAGCAAAATCTGGATGGATCACGCCAAGGCCTACTAGCTTAACCCCTCCCAGACCTTCCTCTTCTCCTGCCCGGACGGCCATGGCATGCGCAATGGTAGATCCGGCACTATCTCCCGCGACAAAAGCTCTCTGGAAATCTGCATATTCGTTCAGCACGCTTCAGGACCATGGCCAGCAGAATGTGAAGCAGCCCACTTGAGTGCGTCCCATGAATCTTCAAAAGCTGCAGGCAGAGGATGTTCAGGTGCCAATCTATAGTCAATTGATATTGCTACAACGTTGGCACTTGCCACAACGGAAGTGAGATAGTGGTGGTAAGTGGCGCAGAATGGTGAGCCAAACATATAGGCCCCTCCGTGGAAGTAAATTAAGAGAGGGAGCTTTGGCTTTGGCTTTGGCTTTGTGCGTTCGGCGGTCTGGTGTGATTGTGATGCTGCTTGGTATAAATAGACGGTTTCATGTTATCTAAATTCAGTAGTTTGTATGAATTTGGTGGAGCACTCTTTTTTTTAGGTGAAACTTGATGCTTTCCATAAGTAATTGCTCAACCTGTTATTTTCTTCTTCTTGTTGTTACTAACTCAATATATGGTGCTATTATGGGAACTGATAATTTAAGTTTGTTTTGAATCCAAGATAGTGTGAACTTGTTTCATTTCTTCATACTTTGTTCACCGGGAGAATATATTTCTGCACAAATGTAGGAGCTAAGGTCAAAGCCATGTCCTATAGTCCTTGCTTCTCTTTCTGGTGGTTCACAAGCTTGCTTGTATAAGGTCTTTCAGGTATACATACTGAGGTTAACTATGCTGTATAATGCGGTCCTGGTGCTAAGATTTTCTCCTCTACTTTTGCCACTTCTGTATAACTTATTTAAACATGATGCAGATTATTGATGGAGGATGTGAAGTCCAGCTCAATTTGGTATAGTTCTTATCTGTATCTGCTTTATACTGTACATCATGGATTTTGTGTATCTTGAAAGGTCAGCGTCTGTTCGGCTTACTGAGTAATTGCTTATAATCTGAAGAATGACAGTAGATTGGTTAGAAGTTGCATCTCGGGTCAAATCTACGACTCTGGTCCTGTTGATGTTACCAGTGACTTAGGTGCAAGATTTTCTGTACACCCCACTGTCCTGAAGATGCCTGGTTCTGCTAAGCTTGTGTCCTTAGTTGCAAAAGGTGTCACTTCTGGACTGGATGCTCTATTCATCACAAAATTTGGATCCCAGCAGACAGATTACTGGCAGAGTCTTTATTCCTCAGTTGTATGTTTCTTGTTTAACTTTGATGTCTGCAAGTTGTGAATTCATGGGTTTTTACTTACTTGACATTGTTAATGGGTTATTGTTCACAGAGCTTGGGTGCCCCTTTTCTCGTTCTATGCTCAGACTGTGATGATCTTGCTCCATACCCCATTATATGCAACTTTTCTCAGCGTTTACAAGATGCTGGAGGTGCTGTAGAAATCGTGAAGTGGAAAAATTCCCCTCATGTTGGTTGGTCTTAAACTATCTACTGAGATGTAATTTTTTAGTTTCAGACTTGAGCACTTAATGTGTTTATTTCCATTGTTTTGCACTAGCTTCCTGCCTTCATCAAGCTTGTTACTATAAAAAGTATAGATTTTATGTGCTGTATGCTGTCTTGCAGTTACACATGTTTGACATTTTTGCTTATCATTGACATGCACCGTGTTTGCTGGCAAATATTACCTTGTAGAGTTTCTTTACCTGCTCCTAGTTCCAGTTAACCTCTAGATTTGAGCGCTTTTAATGGTAGTATATTTAAACTGTGCTGACCTTGTTAATCTCATTACAGGTCATTACAGTAGCTATCCAATTCAGTACAGAGCTGCTGTAGCAGAGCTGCTTGAGAGATCAAATTCAATCTTCTTTCATAAAATCCAGAGACTTGGAGAGCAAATTGGCACTGACTTGGGCGGTATGCCTGGTGAAATATCTGATTTGATATGTGATCTCCAAAATGCAGCTGTTAATTCAAATCAAAGCCTTAGAAGAGTTGCAGTTGGACCGGAAGACCACTTCTTCTTACCAAGTTCAATGGAACATGACAATTTTAGAGACTCGCGCTCTTCTCAAGAGGATAGGAAGGAAAAATTACCATCTGATACAAACCCTAGGATGGATGCACATGGTGTTCTTGGCCAAATCCTCTTTGATGCGTGTGTCCCAAAAAACATTGAAGGTTGGGATATCAAATTTTCTGGTTCCTTGAATGGCCAGCCATTTGCTTCTGCTTCTAGGCGTTCATCCTTGAAGGCTATCAAATTTATAGGTCGTTCAAGATTGTGACCAGGTCTGATATGAGTTGACGTATTTGAGGTAAATTTTCTAATTATGTTTAGTAAACTGCATTCTTTAGATAAGAATGGCATGTCTCTGAGAAATAAAGTTGCATAAGAGGTGATTTTGCCAAGGATTGGGATACAAATCCGTTTGTCGGGTACTTTGTAGTGTGAGGGGTATATATGCCTGTGATACTGTCAACTATATATTGGTGATTAAAAATGACAAATCTTTTAGTAGCTGCTGAAAGCATATGGCTCTGAGCGAAGGAAGGGTAGAAGGGGGTGTCCTTTCATCTTTCTGTGACACGCTTAAAAAGCCATTGTAACCTGTATTGCTATGGCATGTTCAATAGGAGTTCGAAGCTATGGGTGCCTGCAGAGCACGTGATGGAAGACAACGAGCCTACTTTTGTAAATAGTGTTAATATATGAGGTTTTTTTTTGGAAGGAGTGTTAATATGTGAGTTGAAAGACGGAATTACTTAACTGTTACAAGCGTATTAACCCTGGTTTTTTGTTTAATATGTTATTAGCATGTTATTAAGTCCTGCTTTTCCTTTTTTATTCCTTCTTGTCCAACATGCAACACAAGAAAGAAAGTCCCTTTTCACATTGTTCGACTTTGTGGTCCATGTTTTCTTCATTTGGAAATTGTGTTCGATTTCACGGTCAATATCTTTTGCAGAACTATTGTCAAGGAAAATAATGTGCTTGGAAAAAATGTAAATACTCATCGGTAGTAATAATCATTTCCTTGTATTTTCCGTTGGACAAAAAAAAAAAAAACAGATGACCTTTGGTCATTAATTCACTCACTCAATAGAATGCAATACAACCTTGACATTTAGATTAGGAATATCCCTTGATCTTCTACGAAATTGTAGCCGTGGGCCATCAATTTAAACATTACCTTGTTGTATCTCTCTTCTTTTCGTGTGTAAAAATATATAGTTTGAAATAATAGTTTTTTCTTTTTTCATTTTAAACAGCTATTCCATTTGAATAATAAGAACCATACGAAGGACCAGGTTGTTTGGATTCCATTTTTTGGAGAGTTTTTTTTTTTTTCCTTTAAAATTATTGTAGCATTTTTTAGAATGTGACGTATGTGGGGTAAAGAAGTGATTGAGAACTGTGTAAGAAAGATATTCATGAAAAATGAAAAAATTGTCCCTTAAAACCAGCAATTTAAACAAAAAACTTCTAATGCAATTGTGGGGCATGGAACATAACTTTGTGGGGAAATTCCAAAATTACCTTGGCTTATTATTTTGAGAAAAAGCGATTTACAGCTACAATTCTTATTGAAAATTGAATTTTGACAAGTAGATTGTCAATCATTAGATTTTCTTTTTCTTTTCTGAAAAATCTTAATAATTAGTTGGATAGGCCTCGAACGCCTAATGAGATCATTATTCAAGTGATCATTAACTCGATATGGATCATTTACTAAACCTTACATGACTAAATTATTCATCGCTTAATTCGTAGACCATCGTAAGCTATTTTCAATAATAGATATATGGTAGCTTCGGTTTGCCTTTTTTTTTTTTTTTTTTTTTTTTTAGGTGTGTCCCGCAGGGAGTGGACCCCGCAGACTATTCACCACCCTCAACAAGTTGCTGGCAGCAAAGTTCGAACCAGGGACCTGAAGCCCCATCTTCAGCACCCTCAACCACCAGACCAAGCCCCTGAGGGCCGCTTCGGTTTGCCTAATAATAAGTTAGTAAGAAATATTTCTAAACTCATCTGTTGACTATAAAGTAGACTTTTTTACCAAGCGCCCAATGTATTTAATTTACACCAAATTTACCATATGTATGTAGTGACACACACTTATTGCACCCGTGTATTTAGACACTTTCCCAATTTAATATTACTCTTATAAAAAAACTAATTTTTAAAGCCCATCATAATGATGTCTTGTTAGAAATTTTATTTTGGTTCAGACTAGTGAATAAGATTTGTGTCGCTTACGAAATATATATTTAGGGTCTGTTTGGTTGGAAGTAAAATGTTTTCCTTAGGAAAATATTTTCCGTGGAAGTGATTTTCCATGAAAATCATTTCCCTTTCATCATTTTCAGGTGTTTGGTTAGCTTATTAAAAATATTTTCTTACTTCATTTTTCTGGTGTTTGTTTAACTTTTGAAATATTTTCACTTTTATCTCTATCTTTACTTTCTACACATTATAACTACATACTTCTTCCCATGCAAAATAAGAAAATTTATCTCACTGTTTAATTTTAAAAAATCTTGGAAAAATGTATATATGAATAAAAAATATTTCTTTAAGCAATAAACAAATTGCTGGCCATTTAGTGTCAAATATCAATCACATGCAATGCTTATTGTGACATATATCTTGCACTCTCACTGCTGAAAGTTTCTCTAAAAAAGAATGTCCCTATTATACATAATTAATTACTAGCATAGGATGAGCAGGATGAGATTTTTTTTTTATTTTGAATATACTAGGGGGAGGGTTGGGTTGGGTTGGGTGGTACGGGGGAGGGAGTGTAAGGAAGAGGTCTTGGGTTCGAGTCCTCCTGTTTACACTAAAAAAAAAAAAAAGAACATACTACAAGATGTTTTCAATAAGTTTGAAACATACTACAGGCGGGATGCATGCATTTCGGAAAATAACTTCAGTAAGTTTGGAAGGGAAGTTGTTTTCCATAAGATGAGTGAAAATATTTTACATAGGAAAATGTTTTCAGTAACTTTTGTGCAACCAAACACGGGAAATTAGGAAAATATTTTTCTGGAAAACATTTTCACCCGAAACAAACGGACCCTTAGTACAAATAATTTCTCGCGGTCCTTATTTGGTCCATTTGGCAGTATGATATTGGTCAAAAATCAATTATTTGGCTTTCCAAGTAATTAGTCGCGATTGATATAATTTTTTTTTTTTAAGAAAAATCATTTAAAAGGTCTCTCATATTTTGTTAAAATAAAAAATTTCATCTTTCTTTTTAAATATTAACATTACATCTCCTACAAATTAAAGTTTACAAACTTTGGTCTCAACATAATTTTTCAACAACTTTTAGCCTGAAATTATCACGTAACCCACGTGCAATAATTTTTATATATAGAAATATCAGACCCAATTATTTAGTGGCAAAAATGAATATGAATTTGGTCAGATCTCAATTTTTTTGAAGGGAAAAATGAATATGATTCAAATCAAATCTAGCTTTTCTAGGGACAAAAATGAATATGAATTTAGTTATTTATTTAATTGCAAATGGGATCTAATCTTTTTACCCCTCAAAAAATTAGTCATGTATGATTTCAAGATAAAAAATGATGGAAAACCTAAATTGATATCAAATTTTACCAACTTAATTTTGTAAAAAATGTAAAGTTACTATTTTTAAAATTGAAAGGATGAAAAAAAATTCATTTGACAAAATATAACAGATGTTTTGAACGATTTTTTCAAATTTTTACACGTAACCAATAAATAAATAAACAAACTCTTGATCTGCCCAAAAACAAACTCAAGGCAAAAGGCAAAAGAACTGAACGCATTAATTGGAGAAATAAAAGGTTCAGAAGAACGTTTGGATGGTGAGAATCTTTCATGTCCTAAAATTTACGAGATGTCCACATCCAGACCTTATAATTTCTTCATGAAGTGGTTTGCCCCAAATAAGTAGTGCACCAGCTCTTGTACTTTTACAGCAAACGCAACGCTTTGTTGGTTACGTGATTTTTTTTTTGCACGGACTTGTCTTGGCACTCCGCCAGAGACCGCGTCCTTGTTGCTTGGTTTTCGTCTGGGATAATCTCAAAAAGTTCCCCTCAGATTTTTGACAGTATTACTGAGCTCCTCTGAATTTTCAAAAATTTACTTACCTCCCTCCCTTGACTCCAACCTTTTTTTTTTTTTTTTTGTAAACAAACCGGCCCATGTTAGGAGAAGTAATATATAAATAAATGATTTCAAAAAGAGAGAAGAGAACTTCATATCAAAAATGCAATTTTATGGTCTTAGTTATTAACTTATTATAAAACTGCATACAAATAAAAGTTTATGATACGAAGACCAAAAAAAAAATTAAAATGTAGGAGTGTATCACAAATAGTTTTGAAAACATTTTTTAGTAGTGTAACAAATTGCAGATTTATTCTATTTCATTGGGTTCATTTTTCATCTGTGTCACATATATGCTACAAAATCCCTCAAATTTATTATTTCTAATTCTATGGAAAAAAATAATATGATTTGAAGAAAAAATAATTTCCAAAAATTTTCACTCTTTCAGCTACACAATCTTTTTAAAGAAATAATGAAAATTCTCAAGAACTCCGGATTGGAAGTCATAACATTACAAGGAGAACATATAGTTCATTGCATATTTAAATGCACAATAAACACAAAAGTGTGCCTAAAATGGCTCCAAATTTGTGATGATAATATTTTTAATAGTGATTCTAAACTTATTTGTTTTATTTCTAATTGTAAAAATAAATGCCATTTCTTTTTTAGTCAAAGTACTTTAATAATAATAATAATAATGAGGGAAGGTAGCTAATGTTGGATCCTACTCGGTCGAAAAGGAAAGTAAGTGATATTTATGAAGTGGGGATTAGTCGGGCCGCCTTTACGGACTTGACCCGGACACCCCACTCCGTCGACAAAAAAAAAAAAAAAAAGAAATATGAAATTACCCCTTTCCTTTTCTGTTCTCACCCCCTTGCTCTCCAGACTCCACGGTTATATATAATAAGAACCAAGGAGATCTTTTCGCGGGCAACTTTTCAGCAATCAGATCCAATTTTTCCCTTCAATTAAATCAACTATCCACAAACAACAAAAAAATCAAGAAAACTTGGGATCTTTTTTCGTGCATGCAGAAGAACGTTAGTTTCATCAATCGCCATGTGAATCTCCTCGCCCCTTTTGTTTATCAGTGTTTAACATATATAGTAACGTACGTATTTGTATGCGTGTCCTTTGGTGAAGACTGCGGTAGTTTTTCTATTTTTTCCCCCTCTTTTGATTGGATTTTCTGAAATGAACAGATGATGAAAAGGAAGAAAAGATTTGAGACCATGAGAAAGTTGTTGGAGATTGATGAAATGCCATGGGGCATCCGATTCAAGCCAAAGCAACAAGAAGTAAGATATCTTTTTTTTTTTTTTTGTTTTTCTTTTCGTATAGAATTTTCTTTTGTTATGCCTTCTTTTAAGAGAGCCTAAAATCATCTAAAACCCCCCACTATCAAAATCTTATGGTACTTTTTTTGTGAGCTCTGGAAGATTTCTACCTCAAAAATTTGCTTTTGCTGCATCTAAAGTCTAAAGACTCTAAGCCCCGTTCTTTGCAATTTTGGGTATAAAACTTTGATATCTAAGTTCCTCATACTTTACAAAGGTGGCAAGATGGGCTTGCAAATGAAATTAGGAATTAAGTTTCATTGTATCTAAGTACATCCTAATATGTCCCCCGTTATTCCTTAGACAAGTACAATGGTATATTTTATTGTGGACTTATTTACTGAACTTAATGATTTTTCTGAAAGGAAATTTGCTTGGAGGAACAAAGATATGAAGAAGAGCAACAGGCGCATTCTCCTAGCTCAAAATTCTCCGAGCACAAACTGTTTCATCCAACCCTCAGGGTCTGATCTCTCACTTCTCCCTCACATAATTATTCGCATCACTGTTGCAGTCTAACGGGATCGTGGGTGCTTGAATTGTTTTCTTCCATAAAGTGCAAGAGTTTTAATGATTCTGTCCCTGTAGTTCTGAAGTTAGATGACTTGATTATTCCAAGCACTGGCTTAGAGTGCTTGAGTGTTCAAGTTTACTCGAGTTTGCTGTCATGCATGATTTTTTTTTCTTATAATCTGAAAAGAAATATGCCATTTTTTTGATGTACTTATGCTGCAGAAAATTTTGTTTTTCCCTCCTCATCTTTCAGTGCAGTTCTTCATTCTCTTTTCTCAATTAATCTCATTTAATATTTGAAACAGGTGGGTGCAAAGAAGCCCAGTCAATCACGAAGGTCGGTTTTGAATGGCTTATAGTTGTTTCACAGTTTCCTCTCAGTTTTTTTTTTTTTTTTAAGCGTTACTTTAAGCATCCAAGTTTTGGAGATTCACTATTCCTGCAAGATTTGTTTCTTTTTTTGTTTTTAAAGCTGTAAACGAAGAATGGTAGGGATGCATGATCTTTGTGGTCAAATTAAGGTTACATCATCAGTTATGCAGCGAGCTGAAGCAGTCCAAGAAACTCTTGATGCCAAGTTTCCTAGTTTTGTCAAGCCAATGATCCGATCTAATGTTAAAAAAGGTTTCTGGCTGGTAAATTTCATACCCGTTCAAATAAAATTTTATGCATCAGACAGACAACGTTTGGCAAGCTTGGGGAATTTTTATGGTAAATTGTTCCCTTTTACAGTCTCTTCCAAGGCTATTCTGCAAGCTTCATTTGCCTGATCATGACACAACAATTGTTTTGGAGGATGAGAATCGTAAAGAGTACATCACGAAATATCTTGCTCAAAGAAGGGGCCTTAGTGCTGGATGGATGGGATTTTCAATTGCACACAAGTTAGTTGAGGGAGATGTTCTGGTATTTCATATGGTTATTGCCAACAAACTAAAGGTAGTCATTTCATTTATTGTTAGACATAGGTTGTTTATGGACATCTTAACTTGTTCTCATTGAGGTGAATTCCTGTTTGAGAGCTTAGCAATTTTTTTTCTCTAGATGAGGCCTTCTAGTTGCAAGCTGCAATTTCTCAAATCAAGTATAAAAATACGCATGTAAATACAGAGAAATTTTGCACTGTGTTTTCACTGGTTAGACCAAAACCGGCAAAAAACATTTGCATGCTGTTTGTGTTAATAGTTGGATTCTGCTGTGATTATATGACTGAAAACTCAGACATGCATAATAATCATGTAACATTTCTGTTTTGTCCTGCCACCTTTTCTGGACCTCTAAACAATTATTGGATGCTCTTGACTAGTGAATTACTGGAGGCAATCATTTTTTTTCCCCTTCGCTTTTTAAGGTATACGTAATAAGATCCAGTCGTTTGGCCGAAGTTGATGCAGCTCTTTGTCTTTTGCAATTAGAGGGCCCTGCAACGGGAAACGAATCTGGTCAGCTGGTTTTTTCCCCTGTATAGCTCTTCAAAGAAGTAAAAGTTCTAGAATGCATGCCGCCTTCATCATTCTTTTGATCTCAATGTCTGGTAAACAGGACATAGAGGCGATGATTGCGGAGATCCCCAACCTACTGGAGAAGAGAGTAAAAGTTGTTCACAACCAGAGTGCGAGAACATTTCTGACAAGGATATGCTAGATAACAATTTGGGGCTGGTGACGGGTCGTCCTGAGAGCATTGACGAGCACCTTCAGCTAGCTCTGGAAGGAAGAAGAGGCTCCTTTTCTGGTCTTCACTATCGAGATTGAATTCAAAATCCAAGCGGTGCATTTACATTGAAAATAGATCATAAAGTAAGTCAGCAAATACCAGTTGAAGGTAGTCAATTATAATTTCAACCCATATTTAGCTGACTGTTCCTCGCCCAATAGACAGCATGCATCATGATTTCTCGAGTCTATCCCTCTTGAGTCCAGATAAAAAGATATTTTAAGGGACGAGGAATGAGAGGAGCTGCATCTCACTATTGCTCCCTTTTGCTTCTGTTTGCCTTACCTGATCGGACACTTCGGAAACTGTACCAAGCCTCCCATAATTACTGACTCAGACTTTCCAAGCATTTACCAACCTTATGAGGTGTGGATTTGGTGCAGGTTTGATCGCTGAAACTTACATCATTGCCACAATGCTGTTAAAGCTACCGAGCACAACGCCCATCCAAGGGATTTTGCAATATGGAGCAAACGCATGACGTTGTATGAGCAGATGGGGTACCATCTTGGTCACGTACTTTGCTGGACCAGCTTGGATGCCTTGTTCTTGAATCCAAAGTACCTTTTTACTGTTAGAGACATAGAAGAATAGCAATCATGCAAAATCAAGGTAGAGATGCTAACCTAGTTGAACTAAACATGTTAGAGCTGAAGGAGGCAATGGAGAGGTTGTATGCTGAAATTGAGGTTCCCAAGACAAATAAATAATAGCTCAAGGATTTCTAAGGAGCTGCCGCTGCACAGGATGGTGTGATGATGACTGATAGGCAGCTTATAAGCTTTTGCTACTATAACTTTTTTTTGTAAAATATATATATTATTTTACTATTCTAGATACAAAGTAACTCAATACAATCTTTAGCCTGGCAGGGCAAGGATTTTAATACACTTATGAAAATGGAGTGGACTGTAGACATAAGAAGAAGATAGTATAAGATATTTTTGGGGTGTTTTTGAAAAACTGTACTCAGAAAATTTCTACTGTAAATGGGTCCATATGTATTAAGTATTTCTGGCATGTTTTAAAAATTAAAATTTTATTGAGATATTTTTAAAAATTTGTTAATTTTTCACCATCATTTCAATATTAAGAAAATATTGATATATTTAAGCATAAAAGAGAATTGTTAATAAGAACAAACGAGGACAAAATGAAAGTGAGATATTTTTTATGAGTATTAGTTTCCATTTTTTGTGACAAGAAATTATTGCCATGTTAATAGAAAAAAAAAAAAGCACCACTTTACAGTGTGTTAACCTTATCCAATCTTTGAAAAGTTTATCGAATATATACGTGCAAGGATGTATGTATGCGTATTCACACTACTGTAAGGAGAGGATGAGGAAATCCATAGAATGGAGATAATGGTTTTCAGTCTTTTATGTCTTGTGTGAGTTTAGGATAACTAACCTATGAACTTATCCTCTTTCTCATTGCTGTCCTTTTTGTGAGATTGTTTCATGGTTTATTCCATCTGACCCATACGCCTAGTTTGGATATGAAAAATTAAAGAACAAAAAGAAAGGAAAGGATGAGATTCTCTTCATATTTGAAAAAGAAAGGAAGAAAAGCTTCCAAACTTTTTAAAGTGCCCCTATTTTTTTTTTTTTTTATCGTTATTTTATCTATATCTTATTCTATCCTAATCTATTCAGGGGAGGTCCAATCGAACCTACGGGGTGATAGGAATTGAACCACCACCGGATTAGACGGTTACACACCGTACATTGTGCACCCATATGGATTTTTTTTTAGAAGAGTCACTTATTGTGGCAATTAGTGTGAGACAATGTTTGAAATTTTAACTTTTCACCTTGACTTAGGGCTGGTGGTTTTAAAAGTGCCCCTATTGATTTGCACTTTTTATGAGTTTTTATCTAATAGGATTTAAATAAGATAAAAAGTAATTAAAAATATATTAAAAATAATTTTCAAAAACTCATGAAATTAGTAATACAAGCAAATATTATTTTACTTACATCAAAAAATATTTTTAATTATATTATTTTATTCTAATACACATCACATCATTAAATAACTCGTATGTTTATCCACAGAGCAAATGATGGATAAATTATTGGTATCCGACGTGTACAAATGTCGTTCCATTTAATTTTTAAGCTCCTAGACATTCGAAAATTCTCGTCTTATTTCTCTTGTTTTCTTTTATCACAACTCAAAATCTCCATCTTATTTTTTTTTCTCTCCAAAACTTCCAAACCAAGCCTACAATGCTCTTTATTTGCTGGTAGTATTTTGCGAGTAAAAATTGAAACCGCCCGAGTTGATTGTCCCATACCGCAGCGAAATCACAAAATACAAAACCAATGCAATACAAGTGCGGAAGTGCTAGTACTTAGCAGAGTACACTGGATAACATTTTCCTTTTGAAGGAAGGGATTGGACAACCATAAACACGAATGAAAATGGAAACCGGAAACCCGCGTACTTTGTCTTGGAAAAAGGAAAGAAATCATAGAATTATGCTTCATAGTACTCTTGTAAATGCCTTTATTCTGCAAAGAAATTTGAAATTTGGCTCCATTTCGGTGTTCCCTTCTCCGAGATGTAGTCTGACAAGTCTTGTCAAATCGCACTTCATGCTGGCAACCCACTCAAACAAAAAAAGAAAAATCTTGTATTAGCAGGTATTTATTTGAACCAACGGTAAAAATCTCCCCCCATCCCAAAATCCTTCCCCACCAAACGATTGATTCATCTCTTTCTTTCTGTAAGAGAAAGAGTTTGATCAAAGGAAATACGGTAGAAGTACGAAAAATGGCCATCTCTCAGTTTTCTCCTTCTAAGAGAAGCCAATACGATCCGTCCACCAAGGTTCTATCTGTTTTTACCATCTGTTATTCGAATACTGAATCATGGTTTTGGTCAACTGAAGGCTCTAAGTCTGTTATCTTGTTCATTTTGACAGCTGAAACAGAGGAAGGCCTCGGAGTTCAAGAAGAAGCTGGTGAAGAAAAACCCTTGTGGCACTCAACATGACAAAATCAACAAAGTACGAGATGAGAACCCAATATGATGAATGATGAGTGTCTGTAGTGTTTATTCATTAGTTTATTCTTTACTTTTATTGCATTTCTTTGTGGTCAGCTTTTTCAGATCCATGTCAATTGGTGGACTCTGGGGGCTTCATCTCGTTGCTCTGCGTCTCTTAGAAAGAAATAAGTACTGTTTAACAAATTGACTCGTGTGCAGGGGGAAACTCACAACATCGAGAAGCCGTTAATAAGGTCAGCGGAGGATGTTTGATCATGTCGGCGCATGCATATTATTTATTAGTACTGTCATTATCATTTCTATGATTGAACGATAAGTTACTTGCTATTAGAAGTGATGAAGGTTTGTTTGAAATATTTCTGAAAAATGCTTGCTGTAAATATATTTTCCAGCTATAAAAAGATCGGGGACAAAACCGCTGATCATTCGGCTTATGGAAAACCCAAATCCTCTGCCCTTCACAGAGCACACGAGGTTCAAGCTAAGCTGCCATCTAATTTTCCTTGTTGTGTGAAGCACATGCTCCGATCTCATGTTACCGGTGGATTTTGGTTGGTAAAGCTCTAAAAGCCCCTATTCTAATCGCCCTTTTGAGGTGTGAATAATGTCCTTAATATATTCTGTCATTCAATTTCAGAGTTTGCCTAAGCAATTCTGCGATGTCCATTTGCCCAAGAAAAATGATATTGTTGTTTTGGTGGACGAAAATGGAGAAGAATACAAAACAAAATACCTGGTGGAGAAGAACGGATTGAGTGGTGGATGGAGAGGTTTCTCTATTGCACACAACTTGCTTGAGGGGGATGTCCTAGTTTTCCAATTGATTAAACCTTGTGTACTTAAGGTAACTCTATGAGCTTGATTCAGAAAGTATGGCTTCAGTGGATTTGATTATTAAAACAAAGGTAGTTAATCACAAGCCTGTTTGGACTTGATTTGTGAATTTATTGTTGCAATTGCTCTCCTACACCAAACAAACAAGCATGCTACGCCCCTTCTAATACGCTGTCAAAGCGTACAGAATTCTGTCCAGCTATCTCAACCACCCAGTGTAAAGTCATGCACATTTTGGGTTTATTCCACCAACATGCCAAGGTGCATGTTTTAACTTTTAAGCGTACAAGTGTATTGATTGCTCTTATCTCTGAGAATTCGAGTTTTCAGATGATGTGGTTAATAGGAAAACATGCATGTTGGCGAGTACTCTAAAACTGCGTGTAAATTCATGAACATATCAACTACAAACAATGGTGGTGCCTACCTATTTTAGAAGGGAAGTACTCGTATTTCCAGTCGAACAAACAATTCATTTAGATGTTTTTAACTACATTACAGCATTTGCCAGTAAATCTTACCTGAATCACCAGCATCAACAAAGAAATGGGAGGTCATTTGTGATCTTGCAGGCAGTTTTTAGCATATCATTTGACATTTCCACTACAGACATCTTTGGATTTTATTCATCAATTTCTGGTACGGAATTTTTTGTTTCTTTGAACAGGTTTACATTGTTAGAGCAAATGGCTTGACAGAACTCGATGGAGCCATCTGCCTTCTGAATTTGGATTTTCAAGATAAATCAATTGATAATGGTATTGTTGTATTGGCCCAACCCTCGTTGTTTTCTCAAAAATGTTGGCTGCTATTCTCTTTTCACTTGTACAATCAACAAATTACTACTGACTCATGTTTTATTTTTGTCATTGATAACTTAAGCGAACCTTAAAGAAGAAAATGAAGATGTGAAGAACTGTAAGACAGCAGAGCTAGACTACTCGGGACCTCTCGCTAATGTTCTTGAGAGAGGCATAGTTGCAGTAAGTTCAGGCCACATGCCGGAATCAGCCCGATCAGCTAGCGATAACAACGAATTAAGTCTGGAGGTTTTGGATGGCGTTAGATTTTCAGAATCGGATATGCAGTTCAAAGATGTGAAGGATTTCAATGGTTTCAGCATTCTTGTGGATGGCCTAGTCATAGACTCAGAGATACCTCTGCACCTACGAGCCAAGTATTATCAGCTCTGCTGCAGTCAAAATTCATTCCTTCATGATCATCTCATCAAGGGGCTGAACTGCAAGCTGGCTGCCGGAATAATTTCTGAAACAGTTAACATTGCAGATGCAATTAGAGCAGCCAAGCTGAAGACTTCTTGCGAGTACCTCCAAACATGGGACAAAACTCTCAAGGCTTTCGAGGATATGGGCATGGCGGTTGAATTTTTGCGCGCACGAATAAAGGCACTTATTTCTCTTCCAACCGAACAAGAAGAGAGCATGAAATCAAAGACAGCTGAGAGAGCTCAATTACAAGAGGAGATGAGAAATCTTGAAACCAAGCATTTGAACGTGAAAGAGGTAATCAGGACTCTTGATGCTGACATAAAGGCTCTCGAGGTCCAAGAGGAAAATCTCGAGGAAATATTCAAGGAAAAAGCAACTGCACCTTGGTAATGCTCCTTATGTCTGTGGTCAATCATTCATTACTCCCTGCCGGTGATATTTTGAAGGCAATTGAATCACCTACCTGCTGGTGATATTTTGAAGGCAATATGTATTACCTCTTTGTTTCATCCTGGAGATGTCTATAAATAGTTAAAAAATTGTGGTAGTGCAAAACGCCACTTCTCTCTTCCAGTTTGTGGTGCATCTTACCGCGTATTAGACATTTATTTAGGACTCCAACTTAAGTTGCTCGTCTTATCCAAAGTTTAAACTTTAATGTTAGCCATTTTATCTGCAAGTCTTGCCTGCTTGGTTTTTCGGGATTCTGCAAGGTGTTAGTTAACCTCTGAACTTAACAGGCTACAAACATGCTGTAGTCTGAGGTCCGTGGACACAAGTACTAAAGGGAGATTCTCAGTGATGGTGAAAGTGTGAGCGTTGTGAAGCAAATGATAAGGCAAAGCTGGCTTTTGACGCAAGATTAACGAGTGGACGGCTGAGATTCTCCTGTTTTCCCTCCCTTTGTATTCAGTTTTCGCGCGCACGCAC